GAGTATTTGAACAACTTCAATACATCATATGTGATTTGTTTGAAGTGTTGGTGGAGGTGTTTGATGGTTGGAAGAGGTTTTGGCATTGGTTTTGCAAAAACATATTTTGTGCCTTAATGGAGCAAGTTTCACAAGTTGCAAGAACAATGTGATCAGAGGAATGAAAGAGATTTTGCTTGGTTTTTAGCTTAATATGGTGTGTTTTGGATGTGATAAGAGTTATCTACTTATAGGCAAGCTCCACGAGTGAGAGGCATGGGCCGATTGAAACATTTTGCCAAGTTTGCCCTTTTGGAGGGAAAAATGAGCAAAACCAACTTGCACACTTGTTTCTGAGCATGAGCAAGTTTCCAGTGTCATTCATCATCACTAATAGCCTGTGAATAGTTGCCAATAATTTATAGGAGGAGATTAACTGATGTAGCAACTGAGTTATGGCAGATTTTGCATAAAGTTTCTCTCTGACGCCACTTGGTTGTCTTGTCATGAATAAACAATTCATTTAATCCACAATCTGGTTTTTTTGCTTATGACCAACTCTTATAATCTCCTCAACTAAGTCTCTCAACATCATAAAATAAGCTAACAAAGTGATTAGAAGAGGTTTTATTAGTTTATGCATCCATTTGCAAATGTTGCACTTGACTTTGTGACATGACAAAACCTCAACTTGACTTCTTTGATTCTCCCTAACCATAAGGGCTGAGAAAATACTCTTGTACTTTTTAAATATACCCAAACATGTTATACAAGTTTTATGTTTAGCCAAAGCTCAAATTCCAAAGGGAACTATGTCAAAAATCTTCTTGAAGTTGGCTGCAAATTTGACTTACAAGTCAAGAAACATGAAATTTTTTTAAGTGTTGAAATTCCTCACGACTTGATGAGCTCACAATTCAAAATCCTTTCATTTTTTGCCCATAAGTCAGTAGGACACTTTTGCAGGGTTCCCCAATAGCTTTCCAAAAATCTTTGAACCACTTCATTTGGATGTGTAGTTAGGAAGTTATGATCATTTCAAGTTGGCTTCAAATTAGGGTTTTTCATGAACCCTAGTTTCTTGATTTGCAAGTTATCCATCAATCCTTGATTAAATATTCACCAAAATCACTATTTAGGCACAAAATGAGGTTGGAAACCTTGCTTGCTTCATTTTAGGGTCAAAACCCTAAAAGTCAAAGAGTTGACTTTCCTAATAGACGAACCAAATAGTTGAAATCTCCAAGATCGATCCTCAGTGTTCTGGGTTCTTTGAGCCTTTCAAACATCTTGGGGAGACTTTAATAATTAGTAGGGGAATCATGGGCCATGATACAATATTTGGAAAACCATCTAAGCCAAAAGTCACCATGGGCCATGATACAAGATTTGGAAAACCATCTAAGCCAAAAGTCAATCTTCAGTTGACTTTTTCAGCTAGAAACCCTAATCAGGGATTTGCACTGCACTAATCATATTCTTTTGGTAACAACCTCAAATAGAATTTGTTCTTTATTATATATGAGCCCCTTGATGATGTGAAGAATTGATTTGGATAAGATCAATCTAAGACTTTTACTAATCAGTCCACAAATTTCTTGGTTTTGACAATGTGTAATCCTAACTCATATGCATTTTGACAAAGATCAACTTGAAAAAGGTTAAGTTAGATAAGAACATGCTTGATGCTCCTATAATTATAATGGAATCTAAGGATAAAAATTGGGGGTATGACATCAAGCTTGTCTCATGACTTAGTTGGTATCTTGGTTGTGTTGCACTAGGACCATGTCAATTTGATTTTTTTACTATCCTATTTTCTAGGGGGTTAGCCCCTGGGGAATGTTAGGCACTGGATTCGGTGGCGCTGGGGCTTCACCCAAAAAATCAACAATCCTACCCATTCGATGGGTTAACGTTGATAACTCCAGTTGCATTTTCTATAAGTGGGATAAACATGTTGCCTATCTGTTGTGTAATCGTTTGAACCATATCATGGTTAATTTCATCTATTAACCGTCTCGTGGCTCAGAGAGATTAATTGGTTAAAGGCAAAGTATCATGTGGAGAAAAATGTCCCATGCCTTCTGGTAGTTCTCCTAGTTAGCCAAAGTTGCCCATGGTGGATGCTGAAGCCATATATGGATTTAAGGGCGATGACATTTCCATCACATTCTCTGAATATATTGACTTACTAGGGTACATACTTGCCATCATTGTAGTTGGAATGTCATACATTTGTTCTGTTTAAGGTGACACGGAACCTAGATAAGGAGGCCTCTGATCTCATTGATTATGTAATTCCTTATAAAAGGTTGGTACAATTGACACTTGTGGTGATGAAATTCCCATATCTGGTGGTATATAATACACCAATTATTGGCTTATGATAGTGGACATCTCCTCGACTGAGGTTGGAGCCACAAAATTGTCGACACTAGTAATTGTCGATTGTCCTCCTGGGTTTAGAATATTACTTTGGGAAGGGGTTTGGCTTTTTCGAGACATATCGTAAAGATGCTTATAGCTCCTCAAGTGTATACAACACAGAAGACCACACAAACAAAAGACACTAAAACAAAAGGTAAGACAATACTTTTCTGTAAAAATATTGGCATAAAAGGGTCTCACTAGGCGTGCCAATTTGTTTACTTGTGTTTTTGGTGACCAATCACGAGTTTGAAAGTCTATGAGGTTAAGTCAAAAAATCTCCAAAGCAATTTGTTCAAATAATTTGTGTGAACAGATGTGTGTGTGAATTGAACGCATCGTAGTAGAAGACTTTAAATGAAGTCAAGTTGTGATAAATGATAAGGTAAAATGAAGTAAATAACATTAAACAAAGCAAAGGAAAAAGTACATGTTATGTTTAAGGAAACAAAAAAGACTAATAAAAAAAGGTGGACGCAGATGCATACATATTTCTCGCTCAACTGTTTCGCTCTTTGACTCGAGTACTCCATTGGTATGTAGAGTATGTATGAAATTTGCGACTCTGAATCCCATGTATGAGTCTACTATTTATTCTATATACAAAGTAACCTTCAAAAATGTTTATGACCACTGCATGAATGTTGCGTTTACTCCATGTTCAATCTCCAAGTTCCCATTAGTATGCTTACGCGTCTTCCAAGATGCTATCTACTTACAACTCACGTTGAGTGGTGACTGCTTCCCACTTCTTCACAGAACTTCAACGATAACTTTCAATGTGTTGTCAATGATGCCTATCAAGGAAAAAAGACTGGTAAATTTACTAAGTCTTTTATATCATGTTGTTCAGTCAACTAGTCCTTTGTTGGAATGAGGGCTTATGTCGACTGTCCTTCTCGAGATTTTGAACATGCTTTTTTCGATTGTCCTTTTCTAGATTTTGGACATATTTCTCAATGACTTGGATCTTGGGTGATTTATCTATGATGACCCCTTGTGGTTGGTCTGTCGGCGAATTATCATTAATGTCCTTCTAAAGACACCATTAATGCTTTCTCAGTACAATGTATTTTCATTGAAATTATTTTTTTACTTTCTAGTAGCTAAAAGTCCAAGTGTAACATACCCTCAATTATCACTCTCTCAATTCCTTTCTCCCTCTCCATACTCTAATTTTCTCCACTGCTCACCAATCTTTTGGTTCCAAATTCTAACAAGATAAGGTTCATGAGATTCACCATCAATTTCAACCTGAAAATGTGTTTCTGATTTAAGGGGAACGAGTCCAATCCAAGAAAGCAATCTCCTCAAAAGCTTTTCATGGGACCAATATGTGACAAAATCTCTTCATACTGAGCTACTTCCCTCTAAGCTGTCAGCCAAGCATGGAGTTCTTCAATTGGTACTTGGGTTACACCTATTTTCTCATCCAATGTATTGTCATTATAGAGCAATGCCTTTTGAAATGTTGACAATTCCTTTAGCTAAAGCTTTAATCTTTCTGTCCAATTGGCACTACATTGTTTTTGACTGAAATTTTCATAAAACTGTAGAAATGAACATGACATATTATGTCTAATATTAAGTTGTTAAAATTTGTAAGCACAATCATAATGTCATGCGTAACCTCTAAGCTTATGAGTGTTAAACCAAAATATGTTGTGCTTTTATAGATAAATTGACAGTTCAGACGAGTTGATTAAATTCAATTTACAAATAAACTGTATCAAAAAGTTATTTTTCTACAAGTAAGAAAAATGATGTCAAACAACTGTTTAAAGCCCTTACATATTCTACATGTCAACATACTCAAATAGACTCACATCTAGTTAAAATCCAGTTAAAATCTGCCTATGTCATATCCTAGTATTAAAAGATAAAAAATTATCATCCTATTCTAAACTAATTAATTTCATTGAATAAATAAATATAAAGACAATATCAACAAGAGATCTTCATGATATAATCCATAATCCATGTCGCTATTTTCTTCCCTTAAAATGATTATAAGCTTTATCTTTTTAAAAAATGAAAAAAAAAGTATCTAAAAGGAATGAGTTTTTTTTGTTGTTGTTATCAAGCATCTCTCATTCACAAATTCACAAGAAAATTGTTGGATCGAAATCAAAAGGTATAAATTGTATAGTTGATCACTCTTAATCTAATTGTTATAGAGGCATAACGAAAAGAGTAAATCTTCGTATTCAAGACATGCGAGTCTTTAACTTTTTTATCGATAAAATAAAAAAAATTTAAATATAAGCAACATAAAATATAATTATATACACCGTTAATCATAATTTTTGTATTAATTAAAAAATAAAAATAACCCCTAATTTCAATTAAAATTTAAATAAATTCAAAATTTTCTCTATTTTTATTAGTTGTTAGATACAAATATCTCTTGAGAAAAGCAGTTTCCTTCCATAGTGTGGGACCCGTAAATTAAAATACAAGCAAACAATGGAAAAAACTTATTCCAAGATCATTTTCACTATCTTTCCTTGTAGTTTGTGTTGGACCAAACAAAGAGTTAAAAGAAGTATAAAGAGAGAGGATATCTGAATGAAGGAGAGCAGAGAAAGATAATGTTAATATGTGGCCCACGGTTTGGAGCCTCCTTGCCTTTCGTACGCGTTGGGGGTTTTCACAAGAACAAGTGGAGTATGAGTTGCAAATCCCAGAGCGAGAGTGTGAAGAAAAATCGTGCGAGTAAAGTATGGCAGAATTACAGTGTGAGACTTGTTGTTATCTTCCTGACAGCTGCTACGGTAATAGGTTCAATTGCAACAGGCGCCGATGCAATTTATGAACAGGAAGAGACTCTATCAAACATACCTCAAACTCTATCCGGTGACAGTAAGAAACCTAAAATACAGAAACCCAAGTCAAGGAAAGCGGAATCCTGCACGGGTAAGTGTGTTACCACTTGCATCAGAGGAGGCGAAGGCTCTCCTGGTGAAGGCCCTCTTAACGTCACAAGGTACACTAAATCAAATTCTATATACCTTCTTTTTAAATATACTCTGATGCCACGCCTTCATTCTCATTTCAGACCACTGGTTGTTTTCAAGCAAGGTTTTAGATCTCGTCACTACTGGTAAATAAATGCCTTCAACTCTTCTTTTTACTTCACTTTCTATTCTTACATAGATTCCACAGATTCCATTATTTCTAGTTTGATAATGAGGTCTCTAAGTCCCTTGAAGTTATAACTAAGGCTCTTTGTGACCTAAAACAAGCTGCAAGAGTCAATAACAAAATCAACTAAGTTTAGTACAATTCATATTGAAAGTCCAATTCATGAGTTGTATAAACAGTCATTGTATTCATGAATGAATTAGCACCTTGAATCCCAATTTTATTTCATCCATCTTTATATGTGATTACTAAGTTATATCATTCACTTAATATTAATTTAACACAATTAATCCACTCAAAATTAATTTTTATCTATTTAAAAATTGCTAAATTGAAGATCACCATATGAATTGTTATCCAAGTATTTCTTGACTATTGTTATTGCACAATTGATGTTTATCCTCCCATGTACTTTTCTGTGCAGTTTGGTGGAGTGTTCAGACATTTGTAATTTGATGAGCAACACCGACGACATGCCTTAAATTTAAATTTCTATTTATTTTTTTCAGTTTGATTGGGATAAATGAACGAGAGGGGAGAGAATATTTAATAGTTTATGTATTTGATTCAAATTTTAAGAGAGAAAGGGGAGACCGATGGAAAGGGGGCAAAATCTCTTCTGAATTACTTTTTGTTTTTTCCGATTTAGAGGAATTTTAAGGAGAGAAGAGATGTTTCATTTTAATTGTAATTATATGTATCTATTTACCCTCATTTATTTATTTAAATATAAATTTAACTTATTAAAATGTAAAAAAAATTATTTTGAACAAAGTTTATCTTCTTTTATGTTTTCTTGTATTTTTTATATCTTCATCTTATTATCAATATATGTGTTTAAATTTTTTTATTTTATTTTTTATAATTTAATATTATTTTTTAATTATCGTAATATTTTTGTTTATAATAATTTTTGTTAAATTTTATTATAGTCGATATTCTTTTTTTAAAATTATATATTATAATCGTTACATTTTTATAAAATCTTTCATGATGTTCTTTAATAAAATACTTATATTACTATTTGAATTATAAACGGTGAATATCATGAATTTTATGGTAAAATTACAAAGATAAAAAAAATAAATTAATTTTAAAATACATCTTGAAATTCTGGTATCAGATATGAGATGTCGAAAGAGATGTTACAACACTAATATCTGAACAGTTAGCAATATATGAACAAGATAAACAACAGTTAACAAGTAAAGTGACACAGTCAATTGTTAACCCAGTTCGGTGCAACCACACCTACGTCTGGGGGCTACCAAGTCAGGAAGGAAATTCACTAAATATAATTAGTTTGAAGATTCACAACAAACTCTCTCTAGTTTACAATCTTCGCACTTAATCTCTACCATTGCGATTTCTATCTAATACTCTCTTAGATATGAGACACATCTCACTCCCCCTCAATCATAAAAATGATGAAAAAGAAATTATCAAAAATTTAGAAGACACTCTTCAAGAACAATGTTTGATCTTGCTTAAAACCTTCAATCAAGAACAATATTTGATCTTGCTTAAAACCTTCAATCAAGAACAATGCACTCTTTCTTAAAAGCTTAGAGTGGACAACTTACAACTCAACAAACTCAGTCTAATTCACACATCAAGGTGATGAGTGAATGACTCACAATAAACAAAAACCCACGAAGCTAAAACTTATGCCTTACGCAATACTCTACTTAACCCTAGCTTCTTTATCATTCCAATAGGATTAAAAAACCTATTTATAGAACTCTTGTACGGGCTTGGGTTGTAGCTTAACTACTTCTTACCAAATCAGATAATTCTTCAAATCTTTTCATTATTAATCATCAAGGAAATAGAACCAAATCAGATTTGATCAAATCAAATCAAATCTTCACATCTTCTCAAGATTTTTAGCATGAAAAAGGAACAAAAGAATTCACAGTTCCTCATGAATTAGTTATCTGAATCTCTTATGTTTAATGAAGATTTCCATGTTGATTTTTATCATCAAAACCTCTTATCAACGAGGTGCAAAAACGTAACAGACAAAACATAACCTTCTTACTGAATGTTCTGTTTACTCATATCACGACATCATACTCGACATCATGAATACAAATCCTGCAGTATTCAGAATAACCACTTGCAGAATATTGAGATCATATGCCAAGACATCCTATAGAACATCATGTGAAAACACTAAGTTTTATAAAAACAATTCTGCCAATCAAGGAACTAACAAACTCCCCCTTTGGCAAATTTTTGGTTAAAACAACCAATTGATCACAAGAGCTCCTAGCACAAACCAAAGAGCATAGCAGCGGAAAAAAAACACACGAATACTTCTCTTTCTCCCTCAGACCAAAGTGAAAGCAAAGAGAAACAAAACTCAACTCCCCCTCAACAACATAACCAACAATAGAGTTACAACATAAATATCAGCCCACCAGCAACACCATAACTAGCATCAGATCTCCTCACACATCAACTCACATAACAACTCACACATCAGCTCCTCTCAAAAACTATTTCTCCCCCTTTTTAGCCATAAATACACAATCATACTAAGGCACATACATTAAACATAGAACAATTTATCAAAGAGTTAAGTGTGCAGATAGAACAAAAAAAACACATCACAAGCATATTTAGTGCAAGATGAACAAATTCAGAAACACAAAACAACACAATCATAATTCAAAGGACATCATAGCCAGACCCCATCAGTTTTCTTCCTCATAGCCAAAATAGTCATCTTCAACATTAGTTGTAGCCCCAAAAACTGGATCACCAATCTTTTCTCCAGAAGCAGAAGCCTCATCATCTTTCTCTTTTTGATCATCAGCGGCCTCCTCATTATTTTCTTTATGCTGTTCCAACCCTCTTAACAGAGCTTCCAGATTCAACTTTCTTGCAGTAGCCACCTTAATCACTTCTTCCAATTCCTTGCAAGTATCTTTTAACTCAGAGATGAGCCTAGTCTTTGTAGAAGATGTCTTCTCAGCAGATGTCAAGACAATGTCTGGGACATGTCTTCCTGCAAACAACTTATAATAGAGAGACAACACAAAATCCCTTTTGCAAGCCACATCATTACTGGAGAGAATACCAAAATATTGTCTCAGAATAATCCCACATATTAGAGAAGGAAAAGCAATGGGTAGTTTGACAGCATTGGTGGTGGCATGCTTTACAATCTGATCAAAGATGTAGCTTCCATAGTCAAACTTTACCTTGGTTCCAACAGCAAAAATAAATCTTCCTAAACCAACATCAATGGTTGAGGTATGATTGGTAGGCACCCATTTTGCTACTCCAATCCTATGTATGATGGCATACTTCACACTTAGATGTCCAGCAGATAGTTTACCTTTTAAGGACCAAGCAGTGACTTGATTAGTAGGAATCACCTTACACACTTGATTGTCAGTTTCTTCCAGTTCACAATCCTCTTCCTCATCCCTTCCTAGAAATCCGTTAATCATATTAGTAGAAAATTCCACACATCATCCTCTTACAAACACTTTCATAAACTCCTTGATTTTTCTATCAGTGATGTCTTCAGAAATGTTCACAATGAACTCTTTTACCAACATATCATAACATTTAGAAAAACCAATCACAATCTTCATCAACCCAGCATCAGATATTAACTTCATAACTTCCTTGATCTCAAGAGCATCCTTTCCCAATTCTCTCTCCAGAGCGACTCTTCTCTGGTACACATATTTCCATTTTGCCACATTGTTTATGGAGTGGAAAGACACATTGTCCAAAGGAGCAGCAGACACAATATTTGTTGCTCTTTTAGTAGCAGATTTCTTCAGGGGTGTGATGTCCTGGACATCATCCTCATCATCTTCTTCAGACTCAATATCAGACCTTATCTTTCTTTTCTTTGAGGCAGGGGTTACTTTGTTCCAAGCTTTTGGGGGTCCAACAACAGTTCTTTTCTTATTACTCTTCGAGGGAGATTGGTCAATTACGAATTTACCTCTCCTAGACTTCAATCTTTTGGTGATTCCAGGAGCCACATTCTTAATTAATTCATCATCAGATGAAACATTGTCAAGATCCACCATATCATCAAAAACATCAACCTTCTTTTGATTTGAACTACCATTTTTATTCTCCACACCAGAGGTATTAGCATTTTCATCAGCATCATTTCCCACCCTTCCTTCTTTGAGCACAGAGTTAACTAACTTGTGCAAGTTGTCAGTGTCAAGGTTTTTCTCAGACTGAGAGCCTTCAACATCTTTTTCAACTACATGTCTAACATCAGTAACGGGAATAGTATCCATTCTAGACAGAGAGGTAGAAATCCTAGGAGCATTTTGACCTCCATACAGAACATTTGTAACCAACCTCCTAATGGCTCTATCAACATAATCGCTACCCTATTTGGTCCTATTTTCAGTGGATAAATCGAGAGGGGTGTTAAAAGATTTACCTATAGAAACTCGTTTGGAGCTGCTTGCATGCGAGGTAGGAGACTCCATTACAGCTGCGTCGTTACATGGGACCATGGCGAGGGGAGCAACATTAATAATGTCATCAAACGATATGTTCATGGGTTATGCTTTCGTTTTGGATTCAGACTTAGTCGATTTGGATGAAGTTGAAACGTGTTTTGGAGAGATTTTGGAATTTTTGCGAGTGAGAGAATAGAGTTCAAATAGGGGTTTTGTGAAGGTATGGAAGATGAAAGAGTATTTGGAGTGAGAAAGGAGATTAGGGTAGCGTGTGAAAGTGGCTTTTAAAGTGTTATGAAATGATGAATGATGTTGAGGCATCTTTATTTATGGAAAATACCAAGTCCCTTGAATGATATTTCCATTAAGCAATAATTTCTACAATTCATCATAAATGCAAATCCCTAATTTCCCTCTTAAAATTTCAAACTGACTAGCATCCAAAGCCTTAGTAAAGATATCAGCAACTGCTTCTCTGTAGCAACATGTTCTAAAGCAATGGTTTTATTTTCAACAAGCTCCCCTATAAAGTGATGACAGATGTTAATGTGTTTGGTCCTACTGTGTTGAATAGGATTTTTGGAGATGTTTATAGCACTTAAGTTGTCACAATATAATGTCATGACATTTTGTGTGACATTATATTCAGTTAGCATTTGTTTCATCCAGACCAGTTGAGAACAACTACTCCCAGCTGCTATATACTCAGCTTCAGCAGTAGATAGAGAGACACAATTTTGCTTCTTGCTGAACCAGGATATAAGATTGTTCCCTAAAAAGAAGCAACCTCCTGATGTACTTTGCCTATCATCAGCACTTCCAGCCCAATCAGCATCACAATATCCAGACAACACATAGCCAGATCCATAAGTGTATAGCATTCCATACTCACTTGTTCCATTAACATATTTCAATATCCTTTTAACTTGATTGATATGACTTATTTTGGGTTCAGCTTGATATCTAGCACACACACCTACAACAAAAGTAATGTCAGGTCTGCTTGTTGTAAGATATAGCAGGCTCCCTAT